CTGGTGGTTTTGAACTGGCTGACCTCGCAACGAGCAACCCACTGGTCACCACTACATAACCGGGGGACCTGTTTGGTTTGGTAATCCCAGTCCATATCCAGCTATCCCTGTTTTCCTTTTGGAAGTGGTTTGTTTGTTTCGGGATAAAAACCCAAACCAAGTCCGGCAATGACCTTGAAACCAAGGAGTCACCCTCGTTTGGTTAGCTGAGTCAGCATGGCCCGGTGGCCTGGAAGAATGTACTACTGGCCCATGGCAGGCCTGGGCATGCTCGGGCCTGGGCAGTCTGACGGCATCTCAGCAGGGGGACCAGTGCAGAGGAGTGGGTCCCACGACAGGAGAGGGGTTGGCCCCCGACTCAGTTTTGCCCTTGGCCGTCGCTGTGATGGGAAAGCGCCGATGCTGAGGTGTTAACAGCAAAGTCTGTCCTTTTGCTACTGCTCTGTGGGTCTGAGCAAGTGCAGACACCGCCGTTGGGCCCAGTGTGTGACCTAGATCATGGGTCAGCTTCACCCAGGCCCACTACCTCTGAGTCCATGACGCTCCCCGGGCCTGAGGGATGTGTCTAGGACCTGGTGCTTGGAAGGTGCTTATTCCATCCGTGTCACAGTGTCATGGCCCCCTCCTTGGGGGCTTCTCCCTTCTAGTGCCTGGGACCCTCTGTCCCAGCTCCACTTCAAGGGCTTCGGGGAGGAACAAGTGTAGGTCACCAAACTGGGCCTGAAGATAGCCGGACATCCTGGCGGGGGCGGGCACCATATGTGCCTAGTGCCCTGTTGGCAATTGCAGGCCCAGCTCTGAAAGGACAGAGGAAGACGCTCAACCCTGGGCAGAGCTCATTTCCCAAAGCCCCCCAGACCCACAGTGAGCCAAGTGGAGGCAAACCCAGGGCCCCTCTGGACGGCCTGCAGCCCTGAAGCCCCTGCTGTTCTGAAGGTGGCAGCTGGCATGGGAGTGGGGAGAGGTGGCGTGCTCACAGCCTCTCTGTGGAGCAGGGCCGTGGGTATCCTCAGACTGGGAGCTCGGGGGGCCGTGCAGCTAGCTCAGCCAGGGTAATCAGTCAAGGGAAGGGTGCGTCCATGGGCCTACCCGCTGGTGTGGCATTCAGCCCACGTCTGTTTCTGCTCCCAGTGTCTTCACCCTTGCTTCTCCCACCCGAGTATCCCCCTCTCTCCGGGGACAAGCCTTGTGAATGCAAAAGCCCACCCTCTGCCTGTGGCATCCCAGCATAGTGACACCGCCATGAATCTCTGTAGAGCGGTCCGTGCATTCACTGAAGGAGCCTTGCCTCCCTCCTCCAGGGCCAGGGCGGCCAGCGGCCCCGCCGAATGAATGAAATAACCTCAGGGAAATGACATTCATGCTGTGGCATTAAAAATGCCTCACAGTCCCAGTGTGGTTGGGTCTCGCCAGCAGTGAGGATGCCGGGTAAAGGGGAGCTGCGGGCTACGAGGGGGCCGGGGCAGCATCAACAAAGGGCTAACAGTAATTTTCGCTCAGCAAGGAAGAAGGCCTTGGCACCAAGGAAAGGAGGAGGAAGAAGGAAAACAAAAAAAGAAGAAAGATTGTAAAGGTTAAAGCAGTCGGCATGCTCACGCGTCACCCTGGAAGGCAGGGCAGAGGGAGCCGGGGTGGGGGTAAGGGGGTTGGAGGGGTTCAAGTCCGGTGATTGGGAAGGGTGAAGCTGGCTGGTTCTTCAGGACCCAGGACACTGTTCCCCTGGGTCCTTCTCTAAAGCCCTCCCTGTGCAGAGATTTATACACAGATGTGCCACAGGGCCTTGGAGCATGTGACCCTGCGGTCACCACACTTTTCTCCGTGCACGTGGGAGCCTCACCCAGTGCCTCGTAACCGCAACCCATGTTCTGTGGCCATGCGTGCTTCAGGGTGTACCTCAGTGACTGCCATCCGGTGGGCTCTCTCAGCGACCCCCTAGCCTAGGGGAAACCTGCCCTTTGGTTTGGGTTTCCAAGACGGTAGCTCTTTCCAGGAGTAGACGCCTTCTCTCTCTCCCATGTGCATGCACCCGATGTAGAGAGAAGTCCAAGGTCTGTCTTCCTCTCCCTGAACCTGACCCTGACAGCAATGGTCCCAGTGCCTCTGGGGACCCTGGAGGGAGCCGAAGGCAGATAGGAGATGATTGTCCATGGGCACTTCTTTTCTTAAAGGGCTCAGGCATTCAGCCAGCCAGACCTGGGTTTAAAGCCCCCGGCTCCCTGGCGCACCAGCCAAATGACAGCAAGTGGGTTAGGCTGGTTGTCTAGAGAAATCCAGTGCCTCTCATCTATGTATAGGAAAGAGCTTTGCATCAACAAGTAAATTCGGACCGAAAGTCCGATGTAAGCCATGGCCTCCTCAGACTTATCTAGCTGCAGGCTGGTGGCTCGGAAAGGTGACAGGGAATGCAGGAAGATCACAGGCTACTGGGTGCAGAGTCCCGTGGGTCCACAGGCTGGTAGACACATGGCAGGGCACCGACAGCTCTCAGGGTTGGGTGGCCCCCACAGGATCACCCCTGGCAGCAGAGTCCCAGCCAGCAGGGAGCTACGGGCACACAGAGAGAGCGTTGGGGAGGTTCCCAGTTTCCCACTTATAAAAAGGCCTCACCACCAAGGTGGCATCATCAGGCTGTGACCCGATTGACCGGTTGGACTCCACCCACTACACATTCATAGAAATTCAAGTCGACATGAAGTCACCTAACGGCCACAGCAAGGATAGCTAGCACTCAGCCTCAGTTTCTCCACCCGGCCTCAGGCTCATCTTGCCAGGTCACCCGGGGCTGCACGGGCGCTGTGTTTTGTAATCCAGTAATGCCCAGGGAAAGGCCACTGAGTTTTCCCTCTTAGGGGATCTCGGGCCACATCGAGTGGCTGGTCTGGTTTGCTTGAAGGGTGTTTAGTGTTTCACCCTTGGCGCCTAGTCCCCAGCACTCGCTGTGCCCCACCGAGCCCACCACATCCCTGTTACCTTTGTGACCCCTGTGGGCAGTGGCAGCTGCAGTCCCTGCCTCAGCCAGCACCCTGCACCCCACCCTCTCTGCGCCAGACCTGGACAGCAGCCAGCCATCCCATTAGAGGTGAGAGGGCAGAGGGCGCCCAAGACTGAGAACGGAATGGAAGCCAGATACGCCATTATGAAAGCCGAGGCACCCACCTTCTGATGGGGCCGGCCCCGGAAGGCCTCCGCATGCCACCCCCTTAAGGGAGTGTGTTTCCACGGTGGTGATGGAGCAGAAGGCGTTACTGTAAGCTGCGCGTGCCACCGTCCTCCGCGAGTTAATTCCCAGCACGTACGTGCTCCGTGCCTCGCTCCCGGAGAGCCCCGCCGAGTAAACATGTGAGGGAGGCCGGGAGCCCGACAGTCGGCAAACAGTAGCCCGTCACCCTGCGCCTGGATGATGGGAGCCGAGCTCCTGTGGTGTCGCCTAGGCCCGACGGGCCTCGCTCAGAGTTGTTCTGGACCCCTGATTCACCTAGCTCTCAGGATGGCATGGGACAGTGGGGAGAGCATGTATCAACGGGCCTCCTCCTGGCTTTCAGGATGCGAAACCTACAGGTTTGTTGTGAGAACAGTGTCGGTGCTGAGAGTCGGCTCCCTGCTAAGTGCCTTCTCTTTGCCCGGCCCTTGGGCCTCTGCTGTTTGGGGAGCTTCACTTTGACTGGGGGAGACAATAGATAAGTCAAATAAGCAAGACCGTGCCAGTGACAAAGGAATAAGCCAGGGCATGGAGATGGGGGAAAGACCAATTGGACAGGGCCGAGACAACACACACACACACCAGTCACTTTGTTATTGCTATCCTCTCTGGTCTCTTCCATCAATAAGAGCGTGTGCTTGATTCTGCGCAGCCTTCACCGTCCTCTGTGCCAGAGGGGCTCACATGTGAGGAGCGTGTCTCCTCCTCTCCTTCTGTGATCACGTCTCCTTGTCTCCCCCTTCGTGTGCAAAGGGGCCTCTGGGGGAACCTGCTGACTCAGGCAGAGAAGCCCCAGCAGGTCCCCTCTGGAGGTGGCCACACCCTCTGACTCGCCTGTGGGGCCAGGGCAGCACCGTCTCAGCTGGTGCACAAGGCAGAGGGCAGGTCCTCCACCCTGGGGACAACCAGCACTGATGGCAGTCAGGGCCCAAATGCCTCAGCCTCCCAAAACTCATTCCTGAAACGCACTAGGTGTGGTTTGT